CTATAAACCCTATGGAGGTCCAAACAGTTTTTGTAATATTAAGATGCTATATGGCTTTTTCACTCTTATTCCTTTGTGAGTGTATAATGGAGTTTCTAAAACCCTACCTGATGTATGATATTATAACAGACTGAATGCAGAAGCAGTTATGAGACTGCAGCTGTCTTCTATTAAGTCAGACATTAAATGGTCTGTTGGAGTGACTGTAGGAGAGCCTGCCTAGCAAGCATGAGTTCAAACCCCAGTACCACCACCACCAAAAAAAAAGTACAGACATCAGAGATTTGCAAAGTAGTTCTTTTTCATAAAAAGGGATTATGTTAACATGTTATAGGTTTATTACTATTATTCTTAATGTATTAAATTATTTTTTAATTTTCCAAGTTAATTTTCAATCTAGTAAATATTGATATAAACTACATATACAGGGCTCTTTAGGGTCCTCACCAATTTGAGAACCAGTGATCTATAATAAATATAAAGTGTTTGGTGGTATTGGTCTCAGATACTAAGACACTATTTCCCTACTTAGTGTAGTGCAATTCAAAAGAGTTGATGTAGAAAGATCTAAAAAAAAAAAAAAAAAAAGGCAATATAAAATGAGAAGAGAAGCAGTACTAGGTATGCACTTCACCCTGCCATGAAATCTCCTAGTAATCAGTAATAATTATTTATACAGTAAAATCTACTGTAAACCATTTAATGACATTCTTCAAAGTCCCAGGGCCTCACCCTTGCTAGGAAAGTTCTCTACCAGCCCTTTTTATTAATTTTGAATAGGATACAGTTGTCTCACTAATTTTGCTGGGGCAAGACTCCTCTTACAACCTTCCTTCCCCCTTCCCACAGTCCTCCCCCAGTAAACTAACATACTTTTATGTGTTACATTAATAGCAAATAATTTAACAGCTTTAACAACAACAAAAAGGCCCATTTTTGTTCAACTCAAATAAAAAATACAAAAGGCTGGAAAGTAGCTTTTAAGTGGTAGAATGCCTGCATAGCAAGCACAGGGCCCAGAGTACAACCCCAGAACTGCAAAAAAAAAAAAGGGGGGGAGGGGAAGTGTAGGTTCTTTTTTTTAAGGGAAATGGGTAAACCTCTAAATTGTTTTCTCTCTCTGCCCCCACCCCCAGCACCTGGAGAATTCTTATATACAATCAAATGATTTAAATATAAAATATTATTGTTAGCCAAGTGCCAGTGTCTTACACCTGTATTCTACCTATTCAGGAGGCAGAGATCAGGAGGATCCCAGTTTGAAGCCAGCCTGGGCAAACAGTTCTCAAGTCGCTATATTGAAAATACTCATACAAAAAAGGGCTGGGGGAGTGGCTCAGGTGGTAGAGTGTCCACCTAGCAAGAGTGAGGTCAAGTTCAAGCCCTGGTACCACAAAAAGGAAAAAAAAAAAAAGTTAAAGTATTAATTGCGTAAGGGAAAATGTAGATTTCACCACAGCAAAAAAAACAGATGCTACTAATTGGTTATTATTATATTCAACCATCATTTATTTATTCACCAAATATTGCTGAGCAATTACTTACACTGACATTTTGTTAGGCAATTGGGACACAATGAACAAAGATGACAGGTTTTTTTTTTTTTTTTAATTGTTGTTTGGTGGTAGTAGGGATTGAACAAGGCCTCACCACTTAAGTCCCCAGACCAATAAGATGATGATAGTTTCTATCTTCATGGGACTTGCATTCTGCTGTGGGAAACGGATGAAAAACACATTATAAAAAACAAAAACAAAAACAAAACAAAACTATAAATGCAGTAATTGCTATTAGGGAAATAAAGAAGACTTTGCCACAACTGCAGTCTCTGAAAGCTGGCTTGTGGAATTCTAAGACCTAAAAATAAATAATTCATGAACAGTTACATCAACATAACACAGATTCTACAGACTTTTGCTAATGCGTAAGAATAATACAGACACTGATCATGAAAATAGAGATCAATTTTTCATTCAGAAGTATTGGATGGCATTACTTAGCAATACAGTAATCGCAAAAGATAATTAACCTCCCAGTCCCATAGAGCAAAAAGCATGTAAACATAACTCTAAAGAAACACTTAGTGGAGCTTAAAGAGACATAACAACCTAATGTAATGTGGTTTCCTGAAAGAAAACTGAATCAGAAAAAGGACATTAAATGAAAACTAAGGAAATGCAAATAAGCTACGGACTTTAGTTAATAAACACATCAAATATTGTTTCAATAACAATAACTGTTTCAATAGCATACTAATATAAGATGTTACTTGGGAGCAGGGTGAAGGGGTATAAATGAAACCTCTGCACTGTCTTCTTAAATCTTCTGTAAATCTAAAAATATAAAGTATTTAAAAAAAAAATCTAACAAGGCTTAAGGTGGGAAGGAGGGGAAGCGGGTGAGGGGAGGAGTTAATAAAGGTGTAAAGAAAGTAAGAAATTACAGCACTTGGGAAGCTAAAGCAGGAGGATCTTGAGTTCCAGGTCAGCCTGAGCTACATAGTGATACCCAGTCTCAAAATATAAACAAATAAATAAAAATGAAAAAAAGCAGCTGGGTGCCAGTGACTCACACCTGTAAATCCTAACTACTTGGGAAGCTGAGAGTGGGAGGATGGAGGCCAGCCTGGGCAAATCATTCCTGAGATACTCCCATCTCCAAAATAACCAGAGCAAAGTGGACTGGAAGTGTGGCTCAAGTGGTAGAGAGCTTGCTTTGCAAGCCCAAAGCCCTGAGTTCAAACCCCAGTCCCACCTTTTCTTCCCCCCCCCAAAAGAAATAAGCCATAAAATACATGCAGATACTTTAGGAAGTTAAAATCTCTATTCATGGGCTGGGGGCATGGCTCATGTGGTAGAGCTCCTGCCTAGCAACCTTGAGGTCCTGAGTTCCTGAGTTCAAATCCCAGTACCACCAGGGGGGGGAAAAATATTCATGCTAAAAACTTCCAAGACAGAGAGATTAATGGGTTTTCCATGCAAACTAAATAGCTCTGTATCACAACATAAGGCAGACAATAACATCCCTAGAGTGCACAATGAACACTTTCGAGTCTACTTATCAATAATGGCCAATAAGCTATGTTTTATGTATGGCACTGTTCTGAAATTACCATTTAACAGTAGCTGGACCAGGAACAACTCCACAGGTTCCACCAAGTTAGTCACCTAAGGAAAAGAGTTTATCTTTTTTTTTTTTTTTCATTTTTCTTTTATTATTCATATGTGCATACAAGGCTTGGTTCATTTCTCCCCCCTGCCCCCAACCCCTCCCTAAGAGTTTATCTTGAAGGAAAACCCATAAGCAAAGGAGACCATTAAGAGGGTAAGAAAAGCATGAAAGAAGAAAAATTATTTCCCAGGACCAACTGGAGGAAATTTTGCAAGTAGTATTAACCTCCAGGAAAAATAGTTCCAGCTAGTGCTGGGTGCTGGTGGCTCACATCTGTAATACTAGCTTCTTGGAAGGCTGAGATAGGAAGGATAGCAGTTCCAGGCCAGCCAGGGCAAATAGTTTGCAAGACCCCATCTCCAAAATACCTAGCAAAAGGGACTGGAGATATGACTCAGGTGGCAGACTGCCGGCTTTGCATGTAAAGAGGAGTTCAAACACTATAATCTCACACACACACACACACACACACACACACACACACACAAGTTCCAACTAATACAATTTTGTTTCAGTTATAGGCCTTCCAGTCAAAACAAAGACTAATGCTTTTCTATAACCCAACTTAAGACAACTAGTAAGTAAGTATCCAATGCTTGATGACTTAGAACTAATCTCTCAAAGTCTGAATTTTTAAAGATGGGCATGAAAAGTGTGAGAAAAACAGAAGGTGACAATCTGAATAACTGTCAAGTTTGAACAGCACTGCATAAAACTGCGTTAGTGCAATAAGTAATCTTAGAGACCACATCACAAAATTAGGATCTCATATCTAGCACAAAGTACAGCAGCAGTAGAACCCTAATCAGGTAAATGACATTAACAATTTTACTCATCAGACACCATGAAATATTAGATATAAAACAATCATTTAGTTCAAATGGATTTAAATCTAATTTAGACACCATGAAATATTAGATATAAAACAATCATTTAGTTCAAATGGATTTAAATCTAATTTAGACAACTTTATGATGAATCTATTACTACTCTATTACCCAAAGGAAATCCTACAAAACAAAGATGTTCACTATTCTAAGCCTTCTCTCACATGAATCCTAAATACACAATTGGAAAATATTCAAGAAATTAATAACATTAAATTAACATTTCCCCAGGTATTCCTGTTTGCACCACCTTGAAGAGAATCCAACGCCGTTTCTTGTTGAAACGAGAAAAAGGAGAGGTGGGATATGAAAAATTCCAAGTAAAACGATCATGACATAGCATCTGGCAGGGATCAAAAAAGCACCAACACTGCCAAAAGAACTGTCAGCGACGAAAGAGAAGAAAATGAGGTTTTCCAACAAGCCACAACCCAACCCAAGGGGCAAAAATCGTCACTGCCAACGCCACCCCACTGCCCGCAACCACCTCATTTCCAAGTCGCCTCCAGTTCAGGTACACCAACTGTAGACAGAACCTAGACGAATCCCCGCCTCGTGGAAAATCTAACCTCCGACCACCACGTCCCACCTTCCAGGAGGAGATCCGCACGAGTCGGGGACAGCCTCAGGGGGAAACAACGCCCAGATCCCACCCTCCTCGCGGTTCCCAGCGGAGGGGCGGAGAACCGGAAAAGGCACGGAATGAGGGTGGGGTAGGGGAGACCTAGGGAGCGGAGGAAGAAAGGGCTGAACGGGAGGCCGGGCTGCGGGGACCGCCGGGGCCAGGGGACCCGGGCACAAGCGCGACGGGGTGAAGGGCCGGGCTGCGCCGGGGCGCGGACACGGGGCCGGCGAGGAGCCTCGGCCGCCAGAAGGGCCGCACTGGGGTTGGTGCGGGGAAGCCGCGGCCGGCTGCCAGGAGCGGGGGAGTCGCGCACTCACCGCTCTGCTCCCCCAGGAACACCAGCTTGAATTTCCTCAGCGGATTCCCGAAGTCTCCGCCCGCGGACATGATGGAGCCGAAGGAGCTGCCGCCGCCGCCTCAGCCCAGAACCTCCCGGACCGACGCTGCTCCAACGCGCTGAGGCAAAGGGCGAGCGGAAGGGCGGGCGCCGAGCTCTCGGCCCCTGCAGGGCCGGGCGGAGCAGCAAGGCTGGACGGAGCAGGGCTCGTCGGCCACACACACACAGGCAGTCGCCGCCGCCTCCCCGCGGAGTCGCCTAGCACCAAGCGAGACCCGCAGCTGCGAAGGGAAAGGAGGGCGGTGTCGAGGTGCTCAAGGCTTGCGTCGTCCCTTCCCTCAACACCCCGCACCAAGACAGGGGTGAGGGGGGCGGAGTGTGACGAGGCCGGCGCCGCAGATGCGTCTGGGACCTTTCACACGCAGCGCCTCGGCTCCGACAGCTGCCGCCGCCGCAGCCCAACCTGCTGAGTGCGCGAGCCTCTGGCGCGGCGCGAGGCGAACTCGGGAGCGAGCCTGCCGCTTCGCCGGCTGCCGGCGGGCGTGCGTGCGTCCGTACGTGCGCGCTACCACGCAGTGCCTTCTTGGTCTAGCCAGCTCTCCTGGCTCCTCCCTCTCAACGAAGACAAGGCAGGTTAGGTTTCCACACCCGTTGGGAGAAGCGAGGAGGCGGTGGGAGCAGAGGGTGGGAGAAACTGGAGCACTTACGTCACTCACTCCACAAGCCAATCGGAGGAGGCCGAGGGCGGGCCGAGAAGAGAGTGAGTTGGCGGCACGAGAGCGCGCGCGGCCCTCCAACTACGGAAAGCGGAGTACGATGGCGGCCATTCGAAGTGTGGCGCGTCACACCCTGAGGGGGGAAGGGAGGAGGGAAGGGAAGGTGGGGCGAGGGCGGAGCCCAGATAGAAGTGGAATGCCACCCCCCGCCCCGCACAATACGCGGGTGGGGTCGGGTATCCCTTAGATGTGTAATAGGGGCCTCTTTGCTAAACCCTCAGCCCCGCCTCATCCCTCAGATCCGCCCTTCACTCAGCTTCTCCATCCTTTCTCATCGTAATTCCTCACATGGCATCTTACTATATAATTCTCCTCCGTTGCTCCCAGGAGTTTCATAACTACCCGAAGCAGGGCCTCCCTGCTTTGTAGATGAGGAAACTGGAGACTAGCGGGAGGAAATGACTTGCAGAATCCATAAAGCCATGAAATGGAAGCCGGGTTTTTCAAGTGAAGCTCTGCATCCCCTTCCTGGCAGATCCAGGGCTTGATCTTCTGATGCCAATCTTGTTCTCAAGTGTTGATAACTCCAGATAATGCCCATCTTCTTTCTCGCCAGAAATGGGCTTAGATATCCTGTAACCCAAACCCTTTATGTCACAGATGGGGAAACTGAGGCCACATAGGAGGGAAACAACTTGCAAAGGGTCAACACAACAAACTAGAGGGAAAGCGTGAATTAGAGCCCAAATTTGGGGAAGGGCATAGTTCTTTTTTTTTCTTTTTATTTATTATTTTTTTTAATTCATATGTGCATACAATGTTTGGGTCATTTCTCCCCCCTGCCCCCATCCCCTCCTTCACTCCCAACCTCCTCTCTCTCTCCCCCGCCCCCTCCCTTTCCCCCCACCCCCTCAATACCCAGCAGAAACTATTTTGCCCTTATCTCTAATTTTGTTGTAGAGAGAGTATAAGCAATAATAGGAAGGAACAAGGGTTTTTGCTGGTTGAGATAAGGATAGCTATACAGGGCATTGACTCACATTGATTTCCTGTGCGTGGGTGTTACCTTCTAAGTTAATTCTTTTTGATCTAACCTTTTCTCTAGTTCCTCGTCCCCTTCTCCTATTGGCCTCAGTTGCTTTTAAGGTATCTGCTTTAGTTTCTCTGCGTTGAGGGCAACAAATGCTAGCTAATTTTTTAGGTGTCTTACCTGTCCTCACCCCTTCCTTGTGTGCTCTCGCTTTTATCATGTGCTCAAAGTCCAATCCCATTGTTGTGTTTGGGGAAGGGCATATTTCAAAGATGGCCTTTTCCCCCTAAAGCAGAGTTTCTGAAAATTAGACACCTGGACCTTGTTCATCTTTCTGTGGAGAGGATACACATTTTCAATCTGGCTCATGATCCAATATGACTGTCACAACCAAGAGGAATATAAAAAAGGCACAAACTAGCCTGGCGCTGGTGGCTCATGCCCGTAATACAAGGGGCTCCGGAGGCAGAGATCAGGAGGATAAAGGTTAAAGGCCAGCCCAAGCAAATAGTTCCTGAGATCTAATCTCGAAAAATCACATCACAGAAAAAGGAGGGCTGGCAGAGTGGCTCAAGCGTTAAGAGCACCTGCCTAGCAAGCATGAGGCCCTAAGTTCAAACCTCTGTACCACCAAAAAACAAGAAAAAAGGGCATGAAGTAAGCATAATGTGGACAAGTAACATGACACTGACTAATACAATTGAATGCAAATTTTCAACTGAATGAAGCCCTGGAACACAAAAAGGATATTAGAAAAAGTAAAGGAATCTGAACAGACTTAGTTAATTACTGTATTATATTGATTCATTAATTGTTTGTTTGTTTGTTTGTCGTCCCCCCATGTCTTCCCAGTCACAATACAGACCAGGCACAGGGCCTGGGTTGAAGTGTGTATGGGGTAGATTTACTTTCCCTCCTCTTTATCTATACAATTGATTCATTAATTGTTACAGATGTATCTTAATAATGTAAGGTATTAATGGAGGAAACAGGAAGCATGTATGAGAATTTTCTAATGTTTCTGTAAGCCTAAAACTATTCCAAATAAAGTCTATCAGTAAAAGATATAAGGCTAAGAACCATCAAATTAGAGAGTTTGGTGTCTGCACAACTTCAGTCACAGATCCAAAAAAGAAACTTCTGCCCTTGAAGGAGACCCTTTAAAAAATGTGTCAGAATTATTCCCAGATTAATAATAAAAAGTACTTACATTTGTGCATAGTATCTTATCATTCACAAAACTCACTTAGATACATTTTCTCATTATCTGGGAATAATTGTTTACTTAGATTTAGAAATGATAGGGCTAGGATACCCTAGGGATAAATTGCTGACCTGTAATAAATTGAAAGGAATTGAAGTTCTTAAAATGGTATCTTTTCTGGCCTATCAAGAAAACAACTATATCCTAATACTGTCTTCTCTATCAAAATTTGCTCCCTGAGTCAGGGGGTGTAGCTTGTGATAGAATGCTTCTCTAGCATGCACATACCCAGTACCTTAAAAAAAACAAAGAAATTTCCCATTCCTCTGAGTCAGGTGGCAGACTCAGAGGAACTCAGAGACTTAGATGCATGTTTTGGAACATGCATCTAAAATAAAAATATATGTGCTCGCTTTGGCAGCACACATACTAAAATTGGAATGATAGAAGACTAAAATAAATAAAACGAAGTGAAAAAACAAAAACCTGAGTCATGACATGGACATTTCATTTTTTTATATATTTGGTTTTAAGCTGAGTATGGTAGTAATACCTGTAATCCCACTCAGGCGTCTGAGGCAGGAGGATCTTGAGTTTGAGGCCAGCCTGGGTTACATATCAAGACCCTGCCTCAAATAAAAGCAATTCTTTTTATTTTACAAGCAACTTGTCAGAACTGATCGGGCCCTCCCCAACAGTAACCCAGAACCCTTGCAAACAAAGAACAGCTAATATCAAGAAACTTATTTTAAAAGCTCTTACAAACAAAAGTTAGTGACTGTTTTTTCTATGATGGATACCAGGTTTTCAGGTTTCCTGGAATAGCTTTTAAAGTCGCATCTGAGGATTGGAATTAAAATTACTTTGTACTTCCTCCAGAATTTTATGGATCAACTCATCCCTGCTGTTTGGGTTTCTCTAGGAACTGTATAGTGCACCTCAGACCTTAAATATTTTAAACTTTCTTCTCTTCCTTTTTTTAAAAGACCTGTCTCACTCTGTTGCCCAGGCCGACTCCCACTCCTGGTCTTAAACAATCTCCCTGCCTCAGCCTCCAGGGTTGATGGCACTCTAGGTGCACTCGACCAAGACTCAGCTAAACTTTCATTTCGCATTTACATGTATACAGCCTTATTCTCCTCTGAAGCTTCCTTCAGATTTGTCAAGTACTCTCTGCCTCAAAGTCATATGTTTTACCTTCAGAGATCTTATGGTCTGACAGTTGCATATTAAGTGCTATGGGGTTCAGCACATGGAAAAATTAGTTTGGAGAAGAAGGAATTAGGAGTCTGTTTTCTCCCTTTTTTTTTTTTTGGGGGCAGCATTGGGGTTTGAACTCAGAGCCTCATGAAAGCGCTCTTACTACTGGAGCCATTCCACCAGAACCAGAACTTTTTTGTGATTTTTCTTTTCTTTTTTTTTTTTTTTATAGGGTCTTGAGAGATATTTGCCGGATCTGGCTTCGAACCAAGATTCTCCTGATCTCTGCCTCCTAAGTAGCTAGGATTACAGGCCTGAGCCACTGGCGTAGGGTTTAAAGAGCACTTTTACCATCATTTTCACCTCCATAATTTCCTACATACACTTCTCTACCTTTTCTCCTTCTTTCCTCTCCCCAGTTCATTCTCATCCTTCAGTTATCCCTTAAAGAAGTTGTCTTAGTCCATTTTGGCTGGACGGTTTAAACAGCAAACATTTATTTCTCATAAATCTAGAGACAGGAAAATCCAAGATCACTAAATCCAGAAGATTTAGTGTCTGCTGAGGACCGTTTCCTGACTCATAAACAATCATCTTCTCACTGTGTCTTCATATGGGAAAGAGGGCAAGGGAGCTCTCCAGGGTCTCTTTTCTTAGGGCACTAGTCCAATTCATGATGGCTCCACCTTCATGACCCTCATCACCTTCCTAAGACCCCCACCTCTCAATACAATCACATTAGTGACTAGGATTTTCACATATGACGTTTGAGGGGGACACAAACATTTAAGCTGTCATCTCCCCCAACAGTGTGAGCATTCTTGCCTATCCTCCCATTGTCCCCTATTCTTTCCCATCATTTAAAGGTCACTGGGGTTTTTTTGTTGTTGTTGCGGTCCTGGGGTTTGAACTCAGGGCCTACACATTGAGCCACTCCACCAGCCCTTTTTTTGTGTGTGTTGGGTTTTTTTTGACATAGGGTCTTGCCAGCTGTTTACCCAGGCTGGCTTTAAACCATGATCCTCCTGATCTGTGCTTCCTAAATAGCTAGGATTACAGGCGAGAGCCACAGATGCCCAGCCTAATTGCCAGTGTTAATTGCCAGTCTTCCCTGACTTTAACCTCCATGGGATCAGAGTTCATGTCTTATTTCCCCAAGTCTTGAAGAAGAGTGCTTGCTACATGGTAAGCATGTTACAGATATTTGCTGAATAAATTAAATAAGATTTTTTTTCACTATGTTCAAAGAGTGAATAGGATTTGAGCATTTGGAGAAGTAAGGGTAAGAACCTTTTGGAGAAAGAGAATCTCACCCAAAAAACATGTTATGTAAATTGACTCTTAATTCTTAAATATTATTTATGAAAAAGATGCCAAAAACAGATTTCATAAGTAAA